AGTCATCCTCCATTTTGTGACCTGACATAGTAATCTTCTGTTTTGTCATCATGCCAGTTTTCCCATAAATCGCCTCATCTTTGGACCCTAACCATGTCCATAAGTAAGGAGTAGAATAATAATTCTTAAGTAGAATATTAATTGTATATGTTTATCATTAGTTTAGGAGCCCTAGTAGCACAGTGGTTAAAGCACTTGGATTCCAACGGAATGGTTGGCACTTCAAACCCACCAGTTGCTACTGAGGAGAAGAGAAATACGTGGCAGTCTGCTTCTGTAAAGGCAACTTTGGAAACCCTATGGGGTAGTTCTACTCTGTCCAACAGGGTCATTAGGAAGTGGAATTGGATCAATGGCCGTGGGATTTGGATCATTAATTTATTTATTCAGCAAATATTTATCAAGTGCCTACCTTGTGCTAGACAAAAGGAGAAGGTAATTACTTTTTGCCTGCAGAAAATGTTGTTTTTGGTGGATGAGATACACATGTACCTAAGTTTTGTATGTATAGAACACTAATTGTTTAATTTTGAAAGTTAAATATGTCACGTTTCTGTTCTATAAAAGCTCTGTAATTCATGGGCTTGCTTGTGTCTGACTTTGGTTGTTGTCAGTGCTCTGGAGAAGGCATTTTGGGACATTTTTTGGTGCGGTGATATGGGGCAAATGGCATGCTGGTATCTCACTGTGAAATTTGTCCTCTGCAACATCCAAAAATCTTAAATACATAAATCTACATGATGTTTCAGAAGGTAAGGCGCTAACAGTGCCTGTTTGCTAGTCCATTATATCTAAAACATTTTCTTGTCAGAATTTGAGAGTGCTGCAGAGGAAGCTTGAAGAGCATGAAGAAGCCCTGACTGGTCGTGCTCAAGTAGTGGACTTGCTGCAACAAGAGCTGAATACTGCTGAACAGTGCAACCAGGTATCACCTAATGAATTTTAATTCTTGGAAAGAAGGACTACTGGTGGCACAGTGGTTTGAACCTACTGGCCATCCCATGGGAGAAAGAGGTGGCAGTCTGTTTCTATAAAGCTGATTGACTTAGAAACCCTATGAAACAGTTGTGCTTTATCCTTTAGGGTCATTATGAGTTGGGATCGACTCAGTGGTAATGGGTTTGATTTGGCTTGGCCCTGAGAATATTCACTTCTACTTTAGTTTTCTAGACAGCAGGTATAAAACCCTAATAAAAGCTTTCAGAGAATAGATGATATTTATTATTTAAAATATCTTGTGATTAAGTGATAATGCTACAATAATGAATAAAAGAGATATAGTTTATTCCAGCGTGGAATTTACATTTCACATTTTTTATTGCTACTCTTTTCTGTTGTGAACTTTAGGTCTAGGGTCCTAGTGTCTTTAAAGGAAATTTCATATTTCCCTTGTTTCTAAAGATAATCAAGGGTGTTGATATTCTAATATCTCAAACTGAAGTATCCTATTTTTTCACTGTAACCTATCTTACATTCCCTTTCTCAGATGGTCCTGACTTTGATTCTCATTGAGATCTCTTGCTCTTCCA